TGTGTTTCTCCCTTCCCCTCCTTGGGTTTGTGCGCCGCCCTGAGTCCCGCCGGGAATAGGGCGGCATATAAATAAAATGAAACTCGAAACTAATACTAGTCCCTTAAAAATGGCTGGTATATATATACACTATAGGAAACTACTTAATATATAAATAAAGTGTTATTTTTATTTATTTCTAAATAAATCAAGTAGCTAACTTGTATCTCATTTGGGAGGGAGCAGTAGCATATTACTCAGATGTGCTGTTTTGTTTGAGGTACTACCATACGGGAGCTATTGACACCCAGACGTAACTTTGCCGCGTCTGTATAAGCGTCTAGGACAGGGGTGTCAAACCCGCAGCCCGCGGGCCAAATGCATCACGCACTGGCCATGCCCACTCCTGTTTTAGTGAAGGGGAAATTGTGGATACATTCACGTGATAACAATGCCTTGACGTGAGTTTGACACCCCTGTTCCGGGAGCTACACTACCTGATTTTGTTTCCTCTACATTTCTTTAAATCGTTGACATTATATTGAATGACTTATTTTTTATTTATTCGCTGCTGTTATTTGTATTCATTGCAAGCACATATCTTTTTAAAATACTAAGGTTTTCAAATTGTGCTGGACAACTTTCAAATATTTTTTATCTACCAGAAGAAAATACAGTGTCTTTCATTGTGTGCCAAGTGTTTTTTTCCTCTTTAGGTCTAACAATGTGCAATCACAGAGAATAAGACTAAGTCTCTTGTGCTTTTGAAAATTGAACATTATTTTCCCTTCACAGCATAGCACAGCGTAAAGAAACAAGTATCTTGTCCATAGATAATACATCTTATGAAAAGCTTCTTTTCAAAGGCACTCCATGTTTTTTCCCCCCCTTCATCTTTTGGGCTACTCTGTTCTGTCTGAGAGTCAGTCACATTCTAGAAAACCAAGTGTTTTCTTCTTCCTTTGTGACAAGTTAATGTCTGAAGGCTGCCTGTTGCAAGCGACTTAAGAGTTTGGAGAAAGATGGAGGACAAAGAACAAACAGAATTGTCTTTTGTTTATTTTGCTTCTAGCTTGTTAAGACTGTAGCTAGTTTCCTCCTTTTTCAAAAAATAAATGGCTTGAGATGAGAATGAAGTTTAGGAACTTATTTACTAGGAAGTATTGGAAGTGAGGGGAAAGAATGAGAAAAAAACGAGAATTAATATTGGAAAAGAAATAATCCCTAAATTTCGGGTATTTTGCCAATTCAGATTTTTTTTTTTTAGAAAACCTTCCTATTTTTCATGTTGTATTTAATCCATGTTGAGAGAGCCGAGGTGGCACAGTGGTTAGGGTGCAGTACTGCAGGCTACTTCAGCTGACTGCTATCTGCAGTTCAGTGGTTCTAATCTCACCGGCTGAAGCTTGACTCAGCCTTCCATCCTTCCGAGGTGGGTGAAATGAGGACCCAGA